AGCCACCTTCAGCAACTACGGCTACAGAAGCACTTTCGACTGACACAAAAGCGGAGCCACTTTTAACAACTACGACTACAGAACCACTTTCTGCAGGTACAAAACCAGAGCCACCTTCGGCAACTACGGCTACAGAACCACTTTCGACGGACACAAAACCGGAGCCACCTTCAGCAACTACGGCTACAGAAGCACTTTCGACAGACACAAAACCAGAGCCACCTTCAAGAACTGCGACTGTAGAACCGCTCTCGACAGATTGGAAGACAGAGCCATCTTTACCTGCTGCAACTGTGAAGCGTAAAAAACTTTATTTAATTAGTTTTTAGTGCATTTTAGTATTGTATAAAGGTATGTAAAGCATTTAACTGACCAGGTCAGAATACCAGACTGCTGCAGGGGAAACTGGAGAAACTGAAAGCAGCGCTACGACTGGAAGGGGACCACATAATACTTTTGAGTCAACTGTACCAGCGATAACGGTTTCAGGGTCAACATTGCAAGATACCAGTGAGCAATTTCAGGAATATCAATTTGAGTTAAAGTATTGATTTATCATTTTGTATACATTGAAACCTGTAGAGGAAACAGAAGGTCTGCCGATAAAAACGCCAGGAAGCACAACGATTTCGGAGGAACTAGAGAGTTCAGCTTCTAAGGAAACTGGTAAGAAATTGCACGGATAAAATATGAGTAAAATCGGGAAAGAGTACTCGCATTGGTCAGAGACAAGCGCTGTTCTTTCGGAAGCAAATCAAGAGGCGGGGAAACTAATAAAGAAAAAAAGAAATTTTGACTTAATTTGTCCTGGTCTGAAGACTGCGCTCCGCAAAGTTTGCGAATTCACTTTTTAACGCAAAAACTGACCTTGGAATAAAATTTGGAGTATGCAGTCTCACATTTTATAATTGAAAAATTAGTTTTGCTTTCAAACGATCGCAGCATTCCATTAAATTTTTAAGTCTGTTGAAACTGCTAACTGCAGCGTTCTCGGCACTGTAAACGCAACAGCTCAAAATAAGCACGGCGGCCTATGACCAGACAGGATCAAGCTAGTTCAATTAATACTTTTTTTCCTCTATTTTTATTTCAATTACTGCCTTTTGCGTGTTTAAACTTCTTGCCTTCACTTTCCATCTTTTTCTAAAAAATATTTCCGATAGGGGAGAGAAGACGATACGGGAAGTGGTAGGCGGAGAAATGCAGCGAGTAGGAACGGTTAGTAAACAGAGGAAAAAGAATTAAAAAGAGAAACAGAACAAAAATTGGAAGAAATAGAAAAAACTGGAGAAGATTAACATTAACATTTAAAGCTTTTCGCATAATTTCTGAGATAGTAGTGCATGAAATGCCTTCACAAATTAATGTCTAATCTGAGTTTTATAGATAATTATCTAGAGAATCCTTGAATGCTGATGAATACGAGGAACTCACCAAGTTTCTTCAGTTGTTTTAATGCTTCTTTGTTAAGTAGAGCATGTCTGTCAAAATAATATTAGGCATGATAGTAAGAACAAGTCACAGTAAGAACAGGCAAAACCGTTTCAGTTCTTACACATTTCTCTAATACACAAACCCTTTCAAAAAACTGCAGTTGCAATTGCCACAATTCGTCAAAAAAACCAAAAATTGACAAAGCACTAAAAAGCAAAAGAAACTAAAAAGTTTAGTAAACTATTCTTCTTTACAGGAAGCGCTGAAACTCTACCGACGAGTACAAACGCTACCGTGTTAGTTTCTACAGAAGTTTCCACTCAGCAACCTTCTGCGAAAACTGGTAATCAGTTTTAAAGTACTATCTATAAATTTTGCAAATACGAAAAACAAAAAAAATTAGTAATGAGCAGAACTGACTAAAAAAGCATACTAAGTTGTCGTTGTTAACAGGAAGCGCTGAAACGCTGGCGGATAACTCAGCGTTTGAAAGTACTGGTAAGAAATTATTGTACGTGCTGTTGTCATTGTAGAAGTGCAGTAAATACTCAAGTGGAGTACGATAAAGACTCACAGTGATTGATAGTCTATTTGATCACCGGTGTAAATAAGTTATGCTGAGGTTTTAGAAATCCGCGAAACGGGAAAAAACAGTGTAACAACGGATGAGGAGTCAGGTTCTTCCAAAGAATCTTCTGAAAAACCCGGTAAAAAGTTTTGTTAATAAAACTGTAGAGATTGTTGTGCGTAGAAAAAACCATTAAAAAATGATTTTGTCTTCTCGGTCTTGAAGCACAGTCTCGTGCCTGTTGTTGCAATTGTAGAATAAATGACGGTCAAATGACGAAACTTAAAAAGCACAAAATTCTGTAACATGACAGAAAAATGGCCGTTAAGTAACTCAATAGTTGCTTTGGTTTTGAGCTTTTGCAAAATTTTAGCAGAAATTTTAGCAGAAGCAATTACTGCACATGCATTTTCTTTTCTTACTGTGACATATTGAGCTGACCTGGTTCTGAATAGGCATTTTTTTTTTCAAACTAGAGAAATTTTTCCAAGTTTTTGTGTACTAAACTTTAGAACAAGCTAATACTGCAAAAACGAAAAAAGTGAGCAGCTTGATAGAATAGGTTGAATATAACGGAGGGTAATAAAAGAAATAGGACAGGTTACTGAAATATGCAGAGAAAGCATCAAACAGAAACTTGGCAGCAAAAATTACAGTACTTTTTGTTACTGCGTTATTTTGTGAGATTTGCTAAACTAAAGGAACATTTTATTTACTATGGCGACAAAAATGAGAAGCGCTACAGAAACGTAAGTAAACACCTTAAGCTTAATTTATGCATTAATCAGCAGCTTGCAGTGGATAAACGCCAAAAGTCTCAGATATTTATCTATTTGAAACACTAATTATAAAAACTTACTGAGGAAAATTTAGACTTGTCGACGACTCTGTTACCTTCAGCAGCAACGCTTGAGCCAACAACTGCTTCCAGTTTTAGCGCTTTATTTATTACGAGTAATGGAAAATGGTATAATTATTAGTTCGTCTTAATTCTTGATCATTAGTTCAAAAAAAGAAAAAAATCGTAAAAAAACTTTCAGAGTCGACTGCAAGCGACGTTTCATCCTGAAGTTCAAAGGATCTAAAAACGAAAGATTAAGTAGAGAAATCTTGAAACTGCAATTTATTTTTACCTTAACAGTTAATAGTAGACAAGAAAAGTGTGTTGAAAACTATTGTACTAAACCAGTTTAAGTGACGCAAAAACGGTGCATTGTATTTCGTGCAAGAAACGTACCATCCTTCAGTTTCTTAAAAATCAGGAATTGTTGATTGGTTTTATGTGTGCCTAGAAATATTCAAACCTTGGGGAGAACTACCGTAGAAGCACTGAAACTCGAGCAGTAAATTTGATAAAGCAGTGGAAACTTGGTGGTGTAAATGATTGATATCATTAATAAGGTTTTTTTAATTATGGGTATGGGTATAAAAACCATAAATGGGTTCAAGATTTTGTTGACTTCTAGACCAAAGTTTTGCCATTAAAAATCAGGATAAAATACAGAGTAAGTATCAGAAAATCGTTGTTTTTTTGACAAGTTTTCAAATCCTCATGTGCAACTGTGCTTGATTACGCTTTTCCTTTACACTGTAGCATCAGCGTTTGTTTAAAAAGAGAAGGAGTGGAAAAAGGATACGCACATTGGTTTTTTTCCACCCTAGTTAAGAAAGTTATGCGTTATATTGTGAAAAATGAGCGAGAAGAGTTTTTGCAAAGTCATATTGGTTGACAAGCAAAGTTGTAATATTATCTGCAATAAATGCCATTTGAAAAAAATACGAGTTTCAAAGTGTCTCAATGAGAATAAAGCTGTATTTTTTTTCTGAGATAAAAAAGTGGGTCAGGAAATTCTACAAGTGCGCATTGCTTAGGAAAATGCTTTTGAGAAATGCTTGGCGCCCCAGTGGAAGTGATGCACAAAGGGTTTGTAGCATCTAGTTTGGTCATGCTGTTTAAATTTCATTAGTATGATTAAATGCTAAAACAGTAAGTCTAAATCAATTCAAGTCTTTTTGGGAAAAGTAACTTGCTTTTCTAACAGTCAAAATAACTAACCTTTCGTTCAATTTAGAAAAAGAAGTAACACAAAGTGCAAGAAGTGAATAAATTACAGGTAAGGTTTCAAAGCGTTCAAAACCTCCAACGCCGCACTTTTATGATCATTTATGAAATAAAGCCGCATTTTTGACCACTGGCATTTCTACTGTCTCAAGTTAATCCGGCAGTCCATGTGTCGATATTTAGTGATAGATAAAAAACTTCAAAGCAACTTAAGGTTTTTTTCCAACAAGGACCAAGAAAACCTAAAAAACAGCACTACAAAAGTGTTGAGAAAGATCCTCTTGACAGCTCAGTCGGTGGACCGACATTTAGGAATGAGGGTTATTGTCAGTCACGCTTTAACCGGAATCCAAAAAGTTCTCCCTAGTGAATTATTAATCACGCCATCAGGATTACCCAAAGGTCTCTTCGTTAACAGAATTCTTGCCGATAAAGCGGAATTTGGGTAGCCTTTCCCTGATTTTCTTGCAAATAAAGTATGTGAGGTAATAAATCTGTTTTGAGCGTTATTTAATTTGGCACAGTAAAGTGATAGTAAAGTGGTATTAAGTGCCTTCTGACAGCAGGACCTTATAAAAAAACTGCACAACCTTAACTGTTCCGTCGGGTACATCTGTATCAACGTTATTTTTGAAGAGCAAAAAATATTGGCCATCAAAACGTTTCCAGCCTCTTCCCCTCGTTCCACTTCGTTAATTCTTTGAATATTTTTTTTGAACAGTATTGGAAACTTCAGAAACTTCTAAACACCTCTCGCCACAGACGCACTACGTCGCTAGAGAAAAGCATTCTATCAGTTTCTCCGTTGCTGTTAGACAGGTGATTGTATAGTTGGAGTCACTAAACTTGGATGAATCTTCTCTGGAAAAAAGAAAAAAAACGTTTATTTTTCTTGTCTCAGCTTCGCTAATAATACGAGATAGTGTTGAATGCGGGCGACGATATTTCGTGCTGCTAATGCTTATCACCTCTGCAGTATATCATAACATGTGAAAAGGTGTGATTGGCTAGTGTTACGCTGAAAAATGAGTTTAGTGGAAGAACTAGATAAAGGTGAAGGAGGCTTACTATGCAACTCCAAGATTTTTTTTAGAGATTTTTATGGCGTAAATTTTTAGACATCTTGAGGAAAGTTAAAGACATATTAGCAACAGGATAAAACAAACTGTTGATATTCTTAGTTTCAGCACTAAGCTCGTTGCTTCGCTTTCTTCTTTAGCTTTTTATTGTGCTTTCTTTAAGAGTTTTCTGTATAGCTTACTGTAGAATTACTTTTACATAGTCATTTACAAAAATACTTTTTGTAAGCCTCCTGGGTGATCAGATTTTTTTTACTTCTTTATCCTCAGCATCCTGCGCTGGATTTTGTAAAGTCAGAAATTATAATTGTTTGATTAGTTTAAAAGCTTTTTTTTTACGCAGTAATCCTCTTCTTATATTTTTTTGCATTTGCTACAGTAATAATTTGATTTTGACAAATTAAAGTAGTCTACGTAGCAATGACAGTTAGCAATGACAGTTACTTCTCTACCACCATTATAAGCAGGTTATCACACGAGATTTTTTGGGGTTATTTTAGCATCTGTAATCCAGGATTATTCGAGCGGATAGAACGAAAGCAGAAAACGTAGAAAAATAATTTTTAGATATACACCTCATTTAGTTGTAAAGAGGTAACAGAACTGTTAAAATTAATGTTGTTAATAAAAATTGATGTTGTATGTAGTAATCCATCTATTTTAATGAAAGTGGTAACCTAAACTGTCCTGTTCTTGTACACACTTTTGTGTGTTTAGTTATAGTACGGGATAAGAAGTTTGAATATAATATTTGTGCTTCTGCCACTAAAAAATTTAAACTCAATCTCGCTTCTCTTGAAAGATTTAGGTAAAAAAGCCTAAACGTGCTATTTTTATCAGACAGCTGAAATGACAAATGTTGATAAAAACAAAATTTTCTAAAAGCCGTAATTATCGTCAACTAACTGGTAAGATAAAATAGCATTTTTTAAAAGTATGATACTGCTTGTAACTCATTTGTCTAGCAACTCTAGTTTGTAACGCTGTGACAGCA